CACAGTAATATGTATTTGTTGTCAAAAATTTGGAGTTTTGAGTTTTGCCTTGTATTTTGTTTGGTGTTGCCTAATTTTCCTAGCACTGACCATGTGGTTCTAAAATAGTGTGCAAAATAATGTCATTTTATTGCTGGAATTCTAAAAGAGTGTACGGCCAATATCCATTTTTGTGCACTTTAAAACCTAGTGCATAGTATGTGCACATAGTATGTGCATAGTATGTGCATACCTACAGGTGTGTATGTCTGTGTCTGTGTAAACTTGTTCAAGGTAATCTGGCACTTTAATCAAGTTATTTGGCTTAGCAAAATGTAAGTTTCGTGAGGACTTAGTTTTTTTCTAATTTCAATCCTCTCCACTATTGAAGGTTTCTTTTTATCATCAGGAAAAAAAGGTTAATCTCTTTGTGCTAATTTAATTTGGTCTCAGTGTAAGTTAGCATGTGTACTTTGGCCTAAAATGGAACTTTAAATGTCAATACTATTTTGCAATTAGATGCATTATGTACAAAAAAAAATCGTCTGAGATTCCTCAAGTTTGTTCAGTTTGGACTCAGTTCAGTGCTGGACAATTTACATGTAATGCTCTTGTTTTCCCTATTTTAAAATCAAATGGGAAACATTGTCTTGCAAAAATGTGTCTAAGGTTATTGCCTTACATTAAGAAAAACTGTCATCTGAGTTCAAAAGTTTTCTAAGAGTTAATTCAAAATGTGATTAAAAAATCAATAAGGAGATAAGGAAATGGAAGGGAAGAGAAATATTAGTGAGGAAAGTCTTGGAAAAGGGAATTAAAGGAAGCAAAAATGGTTTCTTTTGGATGAGAAAGGATTTGGGAAGTAAGAATTGTCTTAAATATTTGTTGCAAAATGGAAAAAGGTAGACATTAAGACAAACCCCAGAAAGTTCCAGTAGGTAGCAGATGGTATATCTTAAATTTTTTTTTGTCAGTCCTGGGGCTTAAATTCTGGGCTTGGGTGCTGTCCCTGCGCTCTTCAGCTCAAGGCAAGTGCTCTACCGCTTGAGCCACAGTGCCACTTCCGGTTTTCTAGTGTTTATTGGAGATAAGAGTCTCACGGACTTTCCTGCCTGTGCTGGCTTTGAACCTGGATCCTCAGATCTCAGCCTCCTGAGTAGCTAGGATTACAGGCATGAGCCACTGGTGCCCAGCTGTCTTAAATTTTTATAAGGTAAAGCTTATTATGAAATATTAGTAAAACTGGCATGTAATGAGCTGTGATTTAAATAAGGTCAAGATTAATACATTGATGTAAAATCAGCATCTTATTCTCTGAAAGTAATTGTGCCTTATTAATTTAGTCAAGTTTTAATATTTGTTTTCCAGGTATGCAAGTCACCTTGGATACAGAGCCGACAATGGTTTCAATCTTAAGTTGTATCCTAAAGTGCTATGTTTGTATCCTAAAGTGCTATGTTCAGTTAATCAGTTGCTGTTTGAAAACCTACTGAGTTCGGTCATTTACAGAGTGCAGATTTCACCTGCAGTATTTAGCCTGACCCACAGGAAAATAGCTCTGGCAAATATTTGTTGGTAATTCTTGACAAGGTGCAGGTAAGTTGTTTTTATTATTTCTATTGGTCTCCTTGTTGCTTTAACTGGAAATCAAAAGAGGTTTTGTGACAAAGACTCATTTAATCTGAGGATTGCAGTTCCAGGCCAGCCCAGACAGAAAACTCCCTCTGAGACTCCATCTCTCAACTAACTAGCAAAGAGGCAGGCTGGAAGCATGGTTCAAGAGACTATTATCTCTAACTAAGCAGCCAAATGCTGGAAGTGGTGCTGTGGCTCAAAGTGGTAGAGTGCTAGCCTTGTGCAGAAACGCTCAAGGACAGTGCCCAGGCCTTGAGTTCCAACCCCATGACTGACAAAAGAGATGGGAACTGGGATATCATCCCAGAAATGGCACCTAGACCCCTAGGACCAGGCCAGTTATGACAACAAAGAATCATGGAGAGGAGTAAGACGAGATGATGACTCCTCCAGTTACTTATGCCTGCCCTTTCAAAATTAACCAGAGCCAGGAGATCAAGAAAAATAGTTAATAATCTTGCCTATCTAATGTCCATAGCTGTCTATTTTGTAACTGGACAGGAATTTACATTTTTGCTTTTGTTACCTATTTGTATTTATAGTAAGTCTTAGATTCAGGACAGTTACGCTGGGCAGCCTCTTTGGTGCCATCCATCTCTATATTCCAGACATCTACCAAGGCCTCCTGTAGAGCCCCCAACTAGCCAAGTTATCCATTTTTTTACATTAATTTTTTTATTTTATTGTAAAGATGCTATACAGAGGGGTAACAGTAACGTGAATAAGGCAATGAGTACATTTCTTGTTGAGCATTGTTAACCCCTCCTCCAATTTTTAATTTTCTACCCTAAACCCTTCCTTTTACCACTTGTGTGCTCTCTAATATTTTTTCTTATTGCTCAGCAATAAGATTGCTCAGCAAGATTTTGTTCACATTTCATCTGAAGACCCACATGGGTGTTCACCAAGGAACAGTCATTGCTGCTTTCTCCCCAACCAGATCAGACATCTCAGCCTTCTACCCAGCTAGCAGTAAGTAGACATAGAGAGTCTTCATCCCTTTCATAATGATCAAAAAGGCCCGGAATGTTAGGTGTGTCCTAGTCTCTGTGCGAATCTGCACATTGATTTCCCCCTCCCTGTTTTCCATGCAGGAGGTCTCTGCCCAGTACCTGTGTTATCTAGGTAACTGGCACAGTTGTAGGTCATTACCTCTCCCTTCTCTGAGGTCACATCCTGGATCGCCTCATTGGGACTGAGGGAGGTTCCTAGGCTCTGGGGTCACATCAGCATCCAGTGTAGCCACACCCTCTCCCCTGTTTGTCCCTTCTGCCACTGTGCCTCTCCAACATGCACTCGGGGCGGGGTTAGGAATAATTTACTCTTTCTTGCCTGAAGACCATGTGGTAAACTCTTTCCCGTAACCTAATTAAAATCTAACAACATGTATTTCCATCATTTGTGGAATCAGGCTGAGCACTGGTGGCTGATGCTTATAATCCTACCTACTCAGGAGTTAGTGAACAGAAGTCCAACTTGATCAATGTTCACAAGACTCCCAACTCAGTCAACAGCTGTATGCGATAGTGTGGTCCTGTCATCTCAGCTACAGTAGAAAGTATACTAGGAAGACTGTAGTCCAGGCTGGCCCAGGCAAATCTGAGATCGAATCCCAATAACAACTAGAGCAAACAAGAGCTGGAGGTGTGACTCAAGCATAGAGCATTTGTCTAGCAAGCACAAAGCCCTAAGTTCAAATCCTAGTACTGCCAAAAATAAAAAGTAAAAGTAAAAAAAAAAAGAATCAAAGGCACTTTTTTTTTCTTTTTGTTGGATGTAGGGCTTGAACTCTAGGCCTGGATGCTGTCCCTTATCTCTTCAGCTCAAGGCAAGTGTTCTACCGCTTGAGCTACAGCACCACTTCTGGTTTTCTGGTGATTTATTGGAGATAAGAGTCTTATGGACTTTCCTGCTGGGGCTGGCTTTGAACCTCAATCCTCAGATCTCAGCCTCCTGATTAGCTTGGATAATAGCTGTGTGCCACTGGCGCCCAGCAAATGAGTTTTTTTTTTTTTTTGTTGTTGTTGTTGTTGTTGGTCGTGAGGCTTGAACTTTGGGCCTGGGCTCTGTCCCTGACCTCTTCAGCTCAAGGCAAGTACACTAGCACTTGAGCCAAAGCATCAAAGGTACTTTATAAATAGTAATTGTAATATATAGAATTCCAAATGGAATTCTATCTGTAGATCTACATTCCAAGGCTCTGATTTACTCTCTATAAATAAGATATATATATATTTTTGGGTCCGGTCGTGGGGCCTGAGCTCTGGGCCTGGGCACTGTCCCTCAGCTCTTCAGCTCAAGGCTAGCGCTCTACCACTTGAGCCACAGCGCCACTTCTGGCTTTTTTCTTATGTAGTGCTGAAGAATCGAACCCAGGGCCTCAGGCATGCAAGGCAAGCACTCTACCACTGAGCCACCTTCCCAGCCCCTCTATGAATAATATTTAAGTGAGGCCTTGTTTAAGATAATGAGCTTTGGTCATTTCCTTTGCAATGTTTCTCTGTTCACAAACAGCCCAAATGAAGGTAAATACTGCAAGAATCCTATACATCCATCCCAGGGGACCACACAGAGGCAGGCAGGAACAGGAGGAAAGATTATTACAAGGTTTATTAGAGGAGCCATATTTGCCCTGGAGAGAGAGAGCACATGGTGACTTGCGCTATCTAGGTAGCACAGGGTCTCAGGGTAGGAAGTGAGGTAGATGAGAGTTCCGGTGGGTCTGGGTGGAAAGAGGGAGGGGCCAACTGTATGGCGAGAACTCCAGGGCCGGGAGGAGTTCAGGCCTGGGTGGAGCTGAGGACCAAAGCTGAGCACAATGCTTCCAAGTGCTACTTATAAATTCATTTTGCTAAACAAACAACTCTTCCCACTTTTAATATCTCACCAAGTAATACACCTGGAGCCCTCAGATTTAAACATATAGGTCGAGAACATTCACCTGTCACTCAATTTCCAAACAGGATCACATTCTATAAATGGCTTTAAGATAATCATACTATTATGTTACTCAATTATCCACACATTCCAAGTGTTTCTCAGAGAATATTTCTTCTGCATCTTAACTGGCTAAACAAATGTTCCAAAGTTGGGATACAGGGATCTTCTCATTGACCTGAAATCTCTTTATTTTCAGAAATCATTCTATATTGTTTCAACCTTGCTTCCTGGGATCGAGGGGGTTCAGCTCAGGGTCAGTGCAGAGTCGAACTATGAGCCCTCATCTACACAGGTCCACTTCAATGTCAAAATCAATAAGAGCACTGGAACTCAGATGCTGCTCCATCTGTGGGCTGTGTCCAGCCTAAGTATCTTGAGGAGTCACCTGGTCTGACAATGAATGATAACTCAGGAGCTGCGTAGGAGAAGCATGGTGTTTGGACTACTTACTTGAGTGTGGTGAGCTCTGTGAGGGATGGCTGAGTAGCTTTGAGATAACTTTCTCTTCGTGCAGCCACTTTAGGAGAAGGCTTGGGACTTGTGTCTGAGTCCCCACTGTCTTCATCTCCCATGGCCTTGATGTAGCTACCACTTCGCATCCTTCGGCATGGAATTTCATCATCTTTACCTCGAGGTGTGTATCCTGACCATTCATCTTGAGGAACCTGGTCAGAGAGAAAACAAGTCATTCCTTGTTTGTGAAATCCTACATCTCTCTCCTGGCCTTTTTTGTTCTGTTTTGCTGTTTGTTTTGGCTGTAACTAATAGAGATCATTATCTAAAACTTTAGATGCTAACCTTTCATTGATAGGGCTTAACTGTAATGCGTTTGAAAATATACTGAAGACATGCAAATCCTTGACACAACACATTTATAAAAAGCATCCTAGGCATTAAGGGAAATGAGAATCATTGGCTCTGATTCATTTCCTACTTCTCCATTTTCTCACACTGGTAATAGCTGAGTCAGGCATAGATAGCCATGGGAGAAGAGAGCAGATTTCTTTGAGCTGTTCTCGATCATTATTTAAGATTCAGAATCTTTCTGATTTATCTATACCTTTCCTGATCTTTTTTGTCTCTACTGTCTCAGAGCCAGCCTCTTTGTTTCTGAAGCCAGGGCTCTACTCGATACCAGATGCTTTTGCTGATTAATCCCTTATTCTTTCTGTATTCTCTTTAATATGTATTCAGCATCATAGATATGCTTAAAACATTCTGAAGGTTTCCAATGATGTCTTCCTGAAAGGTGGTGCAGTTTTGTTTATTTTGTGCCAGTCCTGGGGCTTGAACATAAGGCCTTGGAGTTGTCCCTGAGCTTTTGTGCTCAAGGCTAGCACTTGAGCAACAGCTCTACTTCTGGTTTTTGGGTGCTTAACTGGAGATGAGGGTTTCCTAGATTTTCCTGCCAGGGCCTGCTTTTGAACCACAGTCCTCAGATCTCAGCCTCTTGAGTAGCTAGGGTGTGAGCCACCAGTGCCTGGCTGGTTGTAGTTTTAAAATCTGCATGTTTTCTGGCTCCTATATATGTGTACACACACATACATACACATGTGCACACACACACACATACACACGTACAAGCATGCATCCCTTGCACACACTGACAGAAAACACACTTCTGAGAGCAACTCCTCTGTTCAAATTCTGATTGGTCTGCTGACCCAGTGTAGCTATTGATCCAAATCATTTTCCCCGCTCTGGGTCTGCTGGATCCTCCTCTAAGTCCCTAATTATGGGGACAGCACAAGTAGCAGCTATCAGAGCATGGCGTTCCTTCTTTTCACAGTCATGTCTTTCAAGTTGAGCTGGCATTACATCATGCTTTTGAAAGTGCTGACATTCTCATCAATTATGACATTCTTATGATAGTCTCTTCAATTCCCTTTAGATTTTCCTCTCCAGCATGAATTCAACCTTACACCCATATGATCTCACTTTGCTTCTATTTGGTGAAAGGAATGCATAATGACCACCCTGTTCATCTGTCAAGAAGTAACAAGGGCCTATAATGCTTGTAACCCGGCACAGTTTAATTAAAAGAGAGGGAGAAAAGCCTGGTAAGAGGGGCAGGCAGTGACAAGGTTGATTCTTGCCCTTAACATGCCTGGAACAGAGATAAGAAGACAAAGGATGAATAAATTTGGGAATTCACATGCTGGCAAGTTGAAGAGATAGTGCCACAAATGAAATACGAATTAAAGGGAAACAGAAACAGGAGTTAGCAGTAATGGCAATGGAGAGGAATATTCAAGAAGGGATATTGGAGCTGGACAGAAGAGAAAATTATATTTAATATTCTGATACTAATTATTTATTGGGTATCTATTAAGTTCATACAATGTTTTGTGTGTGTGTGTGTGTGTGTGTGTGTGTGTATTTGTGTCCTGGGTCATGAACTAAGGGCTTTTGTACTGTCCCTGAGTTTTTTTAAGCTCAAGACTAGCGTTCAACCACTTGAGCCACAGCTCCACTCCCAGACGTTTTTCTTCTTCTTTTTAAGATACTAAGAGCCTCACGGATTTTCCTGATTGGCTGGCTGGCTGGCTTTGAACCACAATCCTCCGATCTCAGCCTCTTGAATAGCCAGGATTACAGGGGTGAGTCACTGGTGCTGCCTAGTGTTTTATTCTTAGCAATTAAGTATGGTAAGAAATTTACTTATGGGGAATTATTTAATCAATACACAGCAAACATGAGCTTTTTTTGGCATCAATCAGAGAGCTGAAGTAATTTGCCGATCTATATAGTGTATGAATCTGACATGTAAAGAAGAAAATTGTCCACAATGATTCAGATCACATTAGGCAGAAAGTTCTAAATTGCATGAAGTGAGAATAGATGTTCCACTATAAAAATCATTCTCCTTTCCCCCTTAAATTTCTATGTAATTTGCAGGTTTATACTTAGAAGCATCAGAGATGTTACTATCCATGGACTTCAAAGCAGCAGTTTGTTGGTTCTTATTTTGAAAGGTACTTGACAGAACTACAGTATGCACAGGTCTATTTAACTTAACAAATTCTCACATTGTGTTTCTTGTGTGCATGCACTGTTAGAAATGCTTTATAAATACTAACTTGTTGGATCCAAACAACTAACGGGTGGAATATCACCCTTTATAATAATAATTATATATAATGTAATAATAATTGTTATGGTTACCATCATTTTCAAATGAGCAGACTCAGGTTATTGAACTCACCCTAAGTGACAGGCCTGAGGATCAGAGTTTCAATGAGGCAGATCCTGTGCCTTGCCCTGACCATGATTATCAATAACCTACTTCCCGGTGTGTCTTTCTCTCTCTCTGTTTCTGTCTCTCTGATAATAAAGTTTGGATTCAGAGAATCCTACTTACATAGCAAGTGCTTTACCACTTGAACCACACTCTCAGTCCTTTTGCTTTTAGTTAGTTTTCTGTTTTAAGAAAGGGTCTCCCACATTTTCCAAGTCTCTCCTCAAACCATGATCCTTCTGTCTCTGCCTCCTAAGTGACAGGATTGCAGGAGTACACATCACACCTTGTTTGAGAGCCTTTTGTTCTAAGCTATGCTTTGTGAAACCTGAAGAATTGAACAAATATAGTCCTTGACATCTCCATAATACATCACATTAAATATATTTCTAATTTATTAATTGTAGGGTTTTCAAAAATCTATGTATTTATTTTTTTTAGCTCCCAAGCATCAAAATCACCATAGCAACAGGACTTCTTGGAAACTATAAATGTTAATGACAGTTCAGTTTTCGTTTGGTTGGTAAGTGACTCACTGCATAGATATGATTATGTTTAGAACCTCATTATTGGCTTAGCAATTAGATGGTAACAATTAACTTGGTACGGGTAGGGTCTTGGATGATGCATCCAACACTTGCCCTTTCTCAGTGCTGAAGTTTATAATATTGCTCAGGGAATATGTCAGAGACTAATGACGAACTGATTAGCTAATATTACTTACAGGGAAAATGCAGCAAATTTCTGTTTAGGTGCTTTGCAAGGGTGGCTTTTGGCAGGAACTTGAGCTTTTACTAGAAATGTCTATAGCTGTTGCTAAGGGAACCAGCAGAGAAGTATTTAATCTGTATTCCTTTCAATGAAGCATCCTTTTCAAGAGATAGCAGCTAAGACTCCACGCTGACGTGCCTTCCATTGGTGTGGAATATAAGTATCAACATATTACTCAACTATCTAAAGGCAACATTCAATAAGCTTACAGGGAAATCAGTTCTGCGAAAAAGTGCAAGCATACAGACAATCAAGAACTTGGAGAAGTGAAACATCGGTGCTGCATTAGAGAGGCCAGTAAAATTGCTAGATTTGAGACAGTTTCTTTTTTTAAGTATCTTAAAGTTTAAAGCCAAGGTTAGACAATGCTGAAGTGCAAGTTTTTAAGGCAAGCATACCTTTGTAAGGGGCCCAAAGAGTTCAATACTATGCCCTTTGGATCATGAGGGGGCTGATGCTATGGCCACCTAGTCAAAGGTTACAGTGCCTTTCCACTTCAGTTTCACCAAGGAAAATGATTTAGGGAAATCTAAAGAAAAGGTAAACTTGCAGCTTCCTGAGAAAGACTTCATTGCTATTGGTGATGGTGGCTTAAGAAATTGAAGTCTGGTAAGAAAGGAAGCCGGAACAGAAAGAAAAGAGCACAGGTGTTTGTAACACAAGGCTCATGGGATGCAGGTCTGAGCCATTTTAGGAGGTGGCTGACCCAGTCACATGAAAGAAATAGTAACAAGCCAGGTGCAGAGGTGCATGCTTATAATCCTAGCTAGTTGGGAGGTAGGACAATAGCGAGTTTGAAGCTTACCCCAGGCAAAATTAGTAGACACCTTACCTCAAAAAACAAATAAAGGGGCTGGGAAGGTGGCTCAGTGGTAGAGCGCTTGCCTTGCATGCTCGAGGCCCTGGTTTCGATTCCTCAGCACCACATAAGCAAAAAGAAAAAAGCCGGAAGTGGCGCTGTGGCTCCAGTGGTAGAGCGCTAGCCTTGAGCTGAAGAGCTGAGGGACAGTGCCCAGGCCCAGAGTTCAGGCCCCACGACTGGACCCAAAAAAAAAAAAAAAACCAAATAAAAACAAAAGGAGTGGGGTGTGGCTCAAAAGCTAGAGTTCTATCCTGAGTTTTATCTGGAGTACAGAAAAAAAAGAGCAATCTGTGATATCTTAAGTTTTACAGTAGAAGTATTCATGTACTGCTTTGTTGAATGGTTGCATGACAACTTGTTTGTACAACTACTTAAAGATAAAATAAAAAAAACATAAAAAAGATTATTTATTTTGTAATACTTATATCTCAATACTAACAGTCCAACAGACAACTTTAAAAATATTTATTTTTGGTGGTAGTGAGGTTTGAACTCAGGGCCTCACACTTGGTTTCTATCTCTTGAGCTATCCCTCAGTCCTTTTTACTTTAGTTTGTTTTCAGAGAGGGTCTTAGGAAAATGGATCTTCCCGTTTCTGCCTCCCAAGTAGTTGGAATTATAGCTACAAATCCTGCCTCAAGAGCGCTATTTTTGATAAGATGAAGAACAGTAGGCATTATTTATTATAGTCAGTCTCAACCTAAGTCGCAAGGTGTTATTTGGAAGACCAAAAAAACATACCTGTGACCAAAGACCTACAGTCACCCTTTAATTACCTGCAGCCTGCCTGCTTG